AACACTTGGATATCTCCATCCAAGTATATCATCTTGGAATACTCCACAAACTGTATGCAATTTTTAAGTACATAAAAGTACACAACTTGTTCATTTTGAAACCAGTTTTTAAACTGAAATTCCTAAACAGAACATGCAAAGATGTTAATATTAATATTTATACCTCCCAGATACGTAGCTTGGAGTAGTTGATGACATAGTAAGCCATGGCAAACTGGGTCTGGTACTCAGGTGGGTAGACGGGCTCGATCTCCATGAGTATACAGCCCTGATCCACAAGTATCTTCCTGTGATCTTCGGGCACGTCCGGCAAATGTGCCACCACAAGTGGATACTTGCTCTTAACCTTCCTGAGTCCCTTGGCTAAACCCAACACGCCCTTCACGTAGTCTCCGTTCCCTGCCAAAAACGTAACGTAAGCCCTTGTGGGAGGGATTGGAGCCTTGGTGGCGGTGAGAGTGGCAGCTCTGGTACTGGTGATGGTAGAGGCCATGTTTTGCTTAAATGGTAAACTGGTAATTGTATCATGCAAGAGAAAGCTCAATTGTTGGTGGGGAGGGATGCGAGTGCTGCGGCTGTTTATATAGGCATGTAAACAACGCGTTGGCCCACCTCAAAGAGAAAGGAAAAAGAAATAATATTGTGAATTAATTAAATATTTAATTCAAAATATTATATAATATTTTTATAATTACCTTGACATTACAATCTTAACTAAAACATTAAATACATCTACAACCCACTAATTGATATAACCAAACATACCTTACTGTGATATCGCCACGTACTCCATTGAGAGTCGGGTAGTTTCCTTGTAGGCTGTCGGTTATTCATAGTTTAGTTCAAGTGGCCAAACGTCGTCGTAGTGTCTACTAATTTACTGTGGGGACTGTCAGACGCCATGTGTCAGCATCACATATAGAGGTCGGTGATTTTGGTCGTTAGTTGTTTGAATCTACGGTTAGACAAAACCATCTTTATTTATTTGTTTTGTTTTTTCCCTCTTTATCGTTAAGTTAGTTTTATGACCCACAATTACATTAATACAACGAAAGTTCCAATATTTAGGTTTTATGGGACAATGCTCTTTATATAAGGGGCTAACCGACCAAATTTCTAGGATAATTTTTTGGAAGACAAATCGTTTTGACTATCAACTTCCAACTCCCATCCCATGTTTTGCATTCAAAATTTGACCAGGCTTCTTTATTTTTAATTTTGATTGTTATCTAATATATTGATTTTTGATTTTTCTTAATTTCATAAATGATGTTAATTTATCATTATATAATTTTAATTATATATATACAAGACAATGAATTAATATGGTTTGTTGAAAGCCAAGTTTACCGCAAATATACGAAATGATATTTTAATATTGCGTTTGATTAATTCAAATATAGAAGGGATTGTTAAAGGACGAAAAAGATTTAAGGGTCAAGCTTGTCCACATTTATTGTTTGGTGGGGCAAGGTTAGACTTTGGGTTGCTTGTAACTTGTAAATTAGCAACTCACTACGATTCGCTTCGCGCCTCGCCTGTAAAAGGAGATGGGCCAGTTTCTATTTAAAAGCTCATGTATATGAAATAAAATAGCCAGAGACGCTCCATTACGATTCGAAGTGTGCAGCGCCTTAAAGACTTCCCCGTTATTGATTTCAAGGATTAAAGACCGAGCCCTGATATTCCATGCATGCTTCAAACCTTCCAATCAGATAATCAATCTTTTATGGGGTCATACCAGCTTGTTACAACTCCAATCGGAGAGGGCCAGACACCAATTATTTGTTCTCAAAACCTGGTGTTTTGAGGTTGATGAGACAAATAGAGAAAATGAGAGGGGAAGAAGAAGAAGAAGAAGAAATAAGGGAGGAGGATTTTAATGTGGGGTTTAGTATTTGAGGTATAATTTAGACATTTTTGGATTCTTTTTGTCATAATCATATATAACATTAAAATATTAATAAAAATATGACATGATATACAAAAATAATAAAATAATCTATGTCATCTTTGAGTGATAAAAGAATTTAATTTATAATGTTTTGTGAGTAAATTGAAAAAATTAAAAGTATAATGAGTGAATAAGAGACAATAAAGTTCAGTAATAAATGACGCAACTTATCCTTTAAATAATTGTGTTTTGCAAAATATATACGTCACCATTAACTAAATTTTTTCCTAACAAATATTATCTTATAATCATTCAAATTATTAAAAATATTTAACACCCTTTGTGTAACTTAGTGTTTTAATAATCTATATCACCTACCAAATTAAGCAACATGTAAGGTTTTAATACAGCGAATAACATCAATGATGAGTTCTTAATATAATTTTATTTTAGTTTGTATGTTACATACATTTACATTTTTATTATGTAATTCATTGATATAATATATATTCGGGTAAGGTACATAAATGAGTTCAAATTATATGAAGATGTTGTTTTATTGAGTTAATCGACTATTAAAATTTTACAAAATGATCACTCGACTATTCATTATGTTCTAAACACATCATTTTTTCGTTAGAAATTGAAGGCGATTTGAGCTAGATGTTAACCTGCTAACTAAGATATGATATAATATGATCTCAAAATCTCAAATGACTATCATATCTCAATCAACATGTTAATGTCCAGCTCAAACGACTGTCGATTTTTTAATGGAAAAGGACGAATTTGGAACAAAATGAATAATTGGGTGACCATTTTCTAACTTTTAATAGTTAATTGACTCAACAAATAACATCATATAGCCAGTGATTATTTTATAATTTTTAATAGTTGGAGGTGCTCAACATAACATCTATAGGCGGAGGATTATTTGTGTACTTTACACTTATATTTTATGGTTTGTATTTTCATGATTTACATTTTATAGATTTGATTACCGGACTTTCAGAGAATTGATTATTTATATAAAAAAAAGTATGTATTTGGAAAATCTACTAAAAAGAACTAGCCATCAAGCTTCTTGCAAGTGGCAACGCAGCGAAAATTTGTCGCAGGCATCAGCTTCTACTTCACTAGAAGCCACAACATTTTTACAGTCAAGGGATTCATCATTGTAAATATCCCACCATTTAGCCATCAGCATTTAATGTCTTCCCTGTTCATGTTCTCTTCTTTGCATGTATACCTCCAGGGCTTGGAACCAGCCGCACAGTAGTAAACGACCGTACTCTTTACCAGCTTGATTTTCTCCGGGTGGCGCCATAGCATGGCCATCACCAGGTTGTAAATTGTAGGAATGGGCCTGTATATGTCCCTAAAGAATATGTGGTCGGTGTATGTATCAATTGATATGGTATTTTTCTGCTGCCATGTGTCGTCACCATATTTAGAAGTCGGTGATGGACACCTGAGCTTTCTTGTTCGATCAACTGTCCGATAAGAAACATCTCTCCTTTCTTACATTTATATATAAATTTCTTTAATTTGCAAAGCTTTTAGTCCCACAATTGCTGTAAGATGGTGAAACGTTTTCAATATATTAGGTTAATGGGATAATGTTCTTTATTTGAAGTACTAACCGACCGAATCTATGAGATAATTTTTAAGGGTAAATTAGATCAATGTTCACTATTCTTTAAAAAACTTATTTTGGTCATTAAGCTTCCAAAATTTTTATTTTATTCGCCAACATTAATTTATGCTTTCACTTTACTCGTCAAGAGTTGATCTATATTAATAAGATGCAAAATCATTATACGGTGATATATGTCACAACTTGATTAATTAAAAATTAAAATAATAAATATGAGTGGTTGAACAACAAGCATCTTTGGTTTCAAAACAACATATTGCAAAATCAGCCAAAAAGAACAAAAAGCTTAAGCGGCCCCTATTTCATTTGTTAAAGGAATTCGTGTACAAGACGGAGGGAAATGTGTAAAGAAAAGTATACCATCGTAGCGTCCTTCAAAGAACACTTCAGCAGAGGCAATGAAGAAGAAAGAAACGAGATTGAGAGAGGGTAAGATAAGGTATTCGTATGTAAATTGCCATATCCAGGAATAGAGATGCACATAGCCGGATTTAAATCCGATCCAGATCGGATAAAAACCGATCCGGTTTTTTCACTAAGCCAAAAATCGGTTTATAAAAAAATCGGTTCGGATCATAACCGGTTTAGAGGGTCGGATGATGTAACCGGTGTAATCGGTTTCGGTTTTAAAAAAACCGGTTTTTAATCCGGTAAAAAATCCGGTCATCTAATTTTTTAAACCTCAGACCAACCGATCTCCGTTTTTTCCTAAGCCAAAATCGTTTTATAAAAAAATCGGTTCGGATCATAACCGGTTTAGAGGGTCGGATGATGTAACCGGTGTAATCGGTTTCGGTTTTAAAAAAACCGGTTTTTAATCCGGTAAAAAATCCGGTCATCTAATTTTTTAAACCTCAGACCGGATTTTTAAACCCCAGACCGGATTTTTTTCCGGATAAAAAACCAATTTTTTATCCGATTTTTTTCAAACCGGTTTTTAATCAAGTAAAAAATCCGATCGTCCAATTTTTTCCCAAACCGGTTATACTATCCGGTTTTAAAATATCCGATCCGGTTTAAAAAAACCAGTTTTTCCCAAATTCGGTTTCGAATATTTTTTGCGCAAAATCGGATATTCGAATTTTTTGTGCACCTCTATCCAGGAAGCGTGAAAGTAGAAATGCAGAGTGATAGTGTGATTACATATTATCTACATAATTGTATATACACACACACCATATAATATATATATATATATATATATATATATATATATGGTCCTATGTATTAACTACCGACACTAGTGTGCTTAATGGACCTGTGCAATACAGCACTTGGTCCTATGATCCTATCATAATGGTGGATCTTGGCCAGAACTTCTCTGGCAGGTAAACTTGGATTTGTTTTAAACACGAAGTGCTCTAAGATATGCTTGGTTGAACATTTGCACTTTTACATGCATTAATTGTAGAATAATCGTCTCTCTGAATGTTGTATTACTCTCTCAGTTCACTTTGGGATGCATCAAGATGAGTAGATTGATAAGACGGGGAGAAAGACGAGGCACGGCATTACAGTGCTTTTCTTCTCCATGGCTATAACTTTGATTCGTCTCTGCCAAAGTTTGATAAATATAATTATATAAGATCAAAACGTAAAACCGAAGGGGTTTTTAGTTGGTGTCAATGATCATAGAGCTGCAAAACAAATATAGAAATTATAAAATTGAGATGCCTATCTTCTTGGCATGAGGATCAACGATCTCTTTTGGAAATTGGAATGTTATCAAAACCCCATAGTAAATCAAACATAAGTGATTACCTTGGCTATACATGTAGTATATAATAGAATAAAAGGACAAAAGGTAATTATTATTTCTGGTATCTTGTCTTTAGGATCAGGAATGTATTGCTTGTCATCCCAATCTTCAGGCTGCCATCATGCATAGCACAAATAATCTTCACCAGTTTGAATACATGTACAAAACATGAAGCATAGTACAAGTAAATCATCAATACCAAGCTCTGAGTATTGTTGAAGGGTTACCTTTGTCGTTAAGATCTCCATTCCATTTTCCACCGGAGAAGTTGTCGTCTTTCTTCCACTCAGATTTTATCCTCCAACTTTCCCATCCATCTTCAGTTTCAGAACAACATGCAAAATCATTCAAAAAGAAGAACAAAAAGCATAAGCAGCCCCTATTTCATTTGTTAAAAGCAATGCATGTAGAAAACGGAGGAAAATGCGTAAAAAAATTATACCATTGAAGCTTCTTCAAAGAACACTTCAGCAGAGACAATGAAGAAGAAAGAGAAGATAAGGGATTCGTATGTAAATCGCCATAACTGAATTCCAGGAAGCGAGTTAAATAAAATACAGTATTTCTCCATCTCACGAACTTTGCCTTTGTCGTTCGGATCGTAGAGTTGCGAAATAGATTAGAAAAAAAAAAGAAGAAAAAAGATAAATGGAGATTCGGGGTATCGATCGCCACACCTCTTAAATGCTAAGGGAGCGCTCTGCCATCTGAGCAACATCCTGTTGACTTGAATTTGGTATATACTAGTGATAACCATTCACTATCTTATTTATCATCTCAGGCTGGTGTAAATGGTTTTAACCCGGATGTATGTAATTGTACACCCATTATTTTTGAGAAAATTGTTAAATTTAGTTTAATTTGTTAATGAAAATATAAAAAATAAGAAATTTTGCATACCCAAATCTTTTAAAATAGAGTATTAAAATTTTAGACTCTTATTTTTTAATTTCTAGATCTGCCACTATTTTAATCATTTACCTTCTTCACAAACAAGGCATACAATTTTATACCAGAGATTAGAGACAGACATTACAGAAGAATTATATGACCATCTTCATAGCCTCAGGAATCAGAAAGCAGTTGGTTTGGATTTGAGTTAAGCGTTAGGCCGAATACTATGATACCCCAAGTGGGAAGTTTATTGGAAAACAAACAAAGTCGACTTTATCAAACATGGGACATTGCTATAGATTGATGCTGGAGAATCCAGAGATGGCTTCCTTGTTGTTCTGGGAGAATTGTGTTTGTGCTCTTACGATATGTGGCCTCAAAATATGTTCTCTTGAAATTGCTAAATCTCAGATACGCGTGTAATTCAACACCATTCATTGCTGTACAGCCACAAGCTTAGGGTAAAGTGTTAAGAGTTGGTAAGCAATATTCATCTTGCAAGTTCAGCCTACACAACAAATGGGTAAACTACACAAAGAGTGACTCAAGTTTGGATAAATTTCCTTTTCACCACTGAAATTAGAAAAAAACTAATGGTCACTAGTATTTTTTATTTAAAACAAAACGACCGTTCAAACGTTAACCTCCGTTACCAGATCACGAAAGTCTGAGTGTGATAATTAGGGTTTGAGTGTAGTAATGGTTTGATCAAATTAATGATGTTTTACATCTGTTGAGAGTTACATGTATGCTTGTGCATGTTACAGCTGAGATGGTTCTAGAAACGATCTAGAAGTTAGTTAGTTATCATAACAGATTGTTTTTATGAAATTTTGTTAAGCAGTTTTATCTTGGTAAGCTTGTATATAAGGAGCAGAATATGTAAGGCTTGTGATCATCTATTAATGATAGTTCTAGAAACTTGTTTGATTACTCAATATGGTATCATTCGCTTGTGATTCTGGAGCAGTCTGCTGAACTACGATGGTACTTGTTGCTGAGTCTTCCTCTTCGCAAGCTCAATCATTCACCAACAAACGAGTGAATGTGGTGCTCGACGAGACGAACTTCCTTTTATGGAAACAACAGGTTCTGCTTACTGTTCGCAGCCACCGTCTTGAACGGTTCCTAAACGGCACCTTCCCGATTCCATCAGAGACGGTTGTCAATCATCTTGGCGAGACAGTGGAGAATGAAGCTTATGAAGAGTTTATAGTGCAAGACAGTGCGCTTGCGTCTTGGCTTCTCTCGACGATCAATACTCCATTACTCCCGCAGTTCGTTGGCTCTGAATCCGCTGCCGCCGTGTGGAATACGGTTATGCAATTCTTTGCAAATCGATCCACGACTACAGTCATGAATCTACATTACAAACTCCAGTCTATGAAGAAAGGAGATGATTCGATTCGGGTTTATCTAACTCGAGTAAAAGAAATTTGCGACCCCTTGCTTCTTGTGGGAGCCCCGTGTCTTCAGTTGAGCACATTGTCAGCATTCTTAAAGGCTTGCCACGGGAGTATCAACCGTTCATGGCGGTCATTACAACCACTCGTGAGTCACTTTCTTTAGATCAGGTGTGTTCTATGATTGTCGATGCTTAAACACAGATAGCTCGGTTTGATTCTCAGCCTGAGAATTTCCCGATGAGTGCTAATGTGGTTCAAGGGAGAGCTACGACTGGTTCGACTGAGTCAGTTCGAGGGGGTCGGTCTGGTGGACGTGGTCGAGGCCGTGCCCGTCTTCAATGTCAGCTCTGTGGCAAGAATGGACACTCTGTGGAAAGATGCTGGTACAGATTTGTTCGAGACTTCCTTGGTGTCAATGCATCTTCTAGTTCATCGCAATCCAGAAATGAGTCCAGTGCTAATTGTATATTTCTTGATTCGACGGGCTGTGCTTGCTACAGTAGTAAAATTGCCTCTAATCAACCTCAGGCGCATATGGCTTCAGATGAGCAGTGGGTGGTTGATTCAAGGGCAACCCACCATGTAACCCCAGATGCTTCCAAGCTGATGAAATCTTCCGAGTTTACTGGACCAGGTAATCTTTTAGTGGGAAATGGTATATCTCTGAGGGTAAACTCGGTTGGAACATCTGTTTTACATACTTCTTCTAAGGCATTAATTTTAAGTGATCTTTTGCATGTACCAAGAATAACAAAGCACTTGGTTTCGGTGTCCAAGCTTGCTAGGAATAACAAGGTTTTCTTAGAATTTCATGCTGATGAGTGTTTTGTTCGAGATGAGCTGACTGGTGCAGTGGTGCTTCAAGGGCAGCAGTGTGAAGGACTCTATACATTTGCTTTAGAACACATGTTTACTTCATGTAATAAAGCTGAAGTGACTAATATTGTTGCTTCTAGCGTATTTGAGCTTTGGCATAGGAGGTTAGGGCATCCAACCTTCCATACACTAAAGAATGTGTGTAATTCGATCAATATTAGTGTTTCCAACAATCTTAATACAACTTGTGTTGCTTGTTGTATGGGAAAGAGTCACAAGCTTCCATTTGATTCTTCTACCACAGTTTACAATGTTCCTTTTCAGTTAGTTTTTACTGATCTATGGGGTGCTGCACATGTTCCTTCGTGTGGATATCGATATTACGTATCTTTTGTAGATGCTTGCACACGTCATACCTGGGTTTATATGCTGAAAACTAAATCTCAGGCTCTTGATGCGTTTCGGTTATTTCAAGCCCTGGTCTCAACTCAATTTTCTTCATCTGTTAAGTCAGTCCAAAGCGATTGGGGTGATGAGTATAGATAATTGTCTCGTGAGCTGACTCGTACAGGCATTACTCATCGGGTTACATGCCCTCACACTTCTGAACAGAACGGCGTTATTGAACGAAAGCATCGCCATTTAATCGAGCTAGCCCTTGTGTTGCTTGCTCAGGCAGCTCTTCCATTTCGTTTTTGGTCCTATGTTGTGGCTACTGCAGCACATTTGATAAATCGGTTGCCTACAAGGGTTCTAGGTAACATTTCTCCATTCGAGAAATGGTTTGGTTCAAAACCGGATTATCAGTCACTACGCGTGTTTGGGTGTCGCTGTTTCCCACACTTAAGGCCCTTTCAACAGCACAAATTAATGTTTCGTTCTGCACCTTGTGTATTTTTGGGTTACAGTTCACAACATAAGGGCTTCCAATGTCTCGCTCAGGATGGTCGAGTGTATATTTCAAGGCATGTAAAATTTGATGAAAGTGTTTTTCCTTTTGCAGAAAAACGAGAAGTTGCAGGTTTGTCTAACACTCGTGCATGGCGATCAGCACCCTTACAGGTTGTGTCTAATTGTGTGAACACAAGGGTTGTGATTGATACTTCGCTGTGTTGTCGTACAACGTCCCAAACGCATGGTAACTCTACTTGTCATGTTGATGCGGCTTCCAATGCTCAAGGAGGTCCAAGTCCTAGTACTCCAGATGGTGCGAATTCCAGTGTTCAAAGCGATACTGGTGACACAACTGTGCAAGGCACAACAGCTGAATCTAGTGCTACTGGACCTACAGAATCTGAAGCTGTGCCTAGTGAGTCTGTGCAGCTTGCTCCTGAGCAAAATACATCAGTTGTGAATCGGCATCATATGCTAACAAGAAGCAAATGTGGGGTCTTTAAGCCCAAGGTCTTTTTCAGCACCTTGCATGATTCTATTCGTACGACGATTGGTGAAGCTATGAGATCAAAAGAGTGGATCCCAACTGTTTATGCTGAACTTACTGCACTGCAAAATAATGGCACATGGTCACTTGTAAAATTACCTGAGGGTCGAACCACGGTTGGTTGTAAATGGTTGTTTAAAATAAAGCACAATTCAGACGGTTCAGTACAAAGATACAAGGCACACCTTGTTGCTAAAGGGTACTCTCAGGTACCAGGTAAGGATTTCAAGGAAACCTTCAGTCCTGTTGTGCGTTTTTCAACATTGAATGTGATACTTTCACTTGCTGTGTCTGGAGGATTGTCGTTGAGGCAGGTGGATGTTAACAATGCGTTTCTTCATGGTGACTTGAATGAAGATGTATACATACAACAACCACCTGGCTTTGAGCAGTATACTCCTGAGGGTGAAAGGCTTGTTTGCAAACTACAAAAATCCCTATACGGTCTGCGCCAGGCACCACGGAACTGGCATGCCAAGTTGAAAGTAAGTCTGCTTCATCTGGGTTTCAAAGAATCTAGAGCTGATACTTCGCTGTTTGTTCTAACAAACGATGATGGTATAATGACCTATGTTTTGGTCTACGTAGATGACATAATAGTCACAGGGCAGTCATCGGTGGAAATTGAGAGTGTGGTGATGATGTTGAAGAATCATTTTTCCTTAAAGGACCTAAGTGAGTTACACTATTTCTTAGGAATCGAAGTAAAACGCTGTGATCAAGTGATGGTAATTAGTCAGAAGCAGTACATTTTGGAACTGCTCGAGAAGGCACGAATGACTAAGGCTTCGTTTACTGCCACACCGATGGTTGCTTCCTTCAAAATGAATAAGGATGAAGGGCAGTTACTTGCTGATGCTCGTGAGTTTCGCAGTCTAGTGGGAGGGCTGCTCTATGTGTGTCACATGAGGCCTGATATTGCACTTAGCGTGAACAAGGTCGCCCAGTATATGCATTTCCCTAGAGAGAAACATTTGCTAGCTGCCAAACGTATTCTGCGCTATCTGGCAGGAACACTAAACTATGGACTTGGTTTTATACCAGAACAAGTGCAAGTGTCAGCCTTCTCCGATGCTAACTGGGGAGGTTGTGCTGATGATAGGCGTTCGATGTCAGGCCACTGTGTCTTTGTTGGTGACAGTCTTGTATCATGGAGTGCAAAGAAGCAAAAGGTAGTGTCACGGTAAACTATGGAGGCTGAGTACAGGAGCCTCGCAGATGCAGCAGCAGAGGTAGCATGGGTCACTGCATTACTTGTTGACTTGAAGGTTTCACAAGGTAAACAACCAACCATATGGTGTGACAACACAAGTGCAATTTTCTTAAGTGCAAATCCAGTATATCACTCGCAGTCCAAGCATGTGGACTTAGATGTACATTTTGTAAGGGAAAAAATTGTTGCAAATCAGTTCCAGCAGCTCATCAAGCTGCAGATGGTTTAACTAAGCCACTATCGAAATCAGCTTTTATCAACTTTCGTAATAGACTTAATGTTTTTTTGATTGATGAAGATGAGAAGAAGAAGCAGGGGGAATGTTGAGAGTTACATGTATGCTTGTGCATGTTACAGCTGAGATGGTTCTAGAAACGATCTAGAAGTTAGTTATCATAACAGATTGTTGTTATGAAATTCTGTTAAGCAGTTTTAGCTTGGTAAGCTTGTATATAAGGAGCAGAATATGTAAGGCTTGTGATCATCTATTAATGATAGTTAAGTGTTTGAATAAATTCTTGAAACTTGTTTGATTACTCAATAACATCAAATGATGGTAGAGGTTAAGGGTTAAATTTTGTGTGTTAATTTAAAAACAAAGATGATGAGATTTTGATGATTAGTTGTTGAAGGTGGTCATAGTTGCTCGTGATGGGAGATACCGATTGAATGGTGGTAGACATAGATGATAGAATGTAGCTGAAAGCTTTTAAATATGATGGTGACATTTATAGTGATCAAGAGAGTTCCATTTTTGTTGTTGGATTTCTCTTATTTAGATTTTGAGGTTTTGAAATAGGTTGAAACTTTTAAAGTCTCTTTATAGTGAAGAAGGAAAATTGGGAGATAAGAGTAAAAAAGGACAGTTCAAGATAAGTTAGCGGAGATAAATACTATTTATTTAATTACTTTAATATGTCATATCAGTTTAAGTGACAAAGTTTAATTGAATCCATTAAATGGTATAAATAGTTAAAAGTAACTTTTATCAGTAATTAAAAAGTTTTGAAGTTTTGAATCGGAACGATTAGAAATATAGATCAACAATTAAGGGCATGCCTCTGTAAATTGTAATCTTTTTAAAAGCAATTTCAACTGTAATCATGAGAATATTGGGCCTCTTTTTCCAAGTATATTGACATGCCTAGCCTTCTCTATGAGGGACACTAGCGGAGTTATAAACTTTTCAGAGTGAGTACGTGTCTATCTTAAAATTTGAAATTAGTTTATTAAATATTCAATTTTTATATATATGTACTCATCTAAAATTAATTTGTGTTTATCCTAAATTTTTTTGTTTCCACCCTAAATTTAATTATGTCCAAAACAACAACAACAATAAAATCCTATTCCCATATGAAATGGGGTAAGGGAAGGTAGGGTAGTAGGCTGCCCCCAACACCAAGTTGAGAGCAGCTTCCGTGGAAGACTTCCGGCAGTCAGAAAATTAAAAATAAAGATAAAATGCAATGCATGTATAAATAAATAAATAAATAAATACATAGTTGACAGAACTTCATATGCAGTCTACATATGCGCGTCTGTAATGGGAAGTAATTCCTGCAAATAAATCCCTGCGAAAAATCTCTGCATATAGAGAGAAACGTAAGATCCGTCTAATTTTAAAAAGAGGAAACCTGAAGCGAATGATACACAGAAGTCAACGATAGCAAGCTACTAGAAGGAATAAAGTCAAATGGGTTAACACCTAAACTAAGACAATATTAGTACGCTACCATAGTTCTAAGCCTTCAAAAATTCCAATGTCAGAAACGTATATAAAGAGAAGTCATGTAAATTACTACAAAGGCATTAAAAAAAAGACAGAGATGTTACACCCTATGGCTGTGAACCACACTACTCGGCTACCCTGGTCTTAAGTCTCCATACTTTCCTATCAGACGTCATGTCCTCGGTAAGGGCTAAATCTTTAAAATCATATCTCAAGCATTCTTCCCACTTCCTCCATGGTCGTCATCTCTTTCTGGCACCGTCAACTGTAATCGACTCTACCCTCCTGACCGCATCCGACGGTTGTCGCCTAAGGACATGTCCAAACCACCGAAGTCTTCCCTCCCTCAATTTTTCAGATACATGCACTACCCCCAAGGACATCCTAATAGCAGAGTTTGGTGTCATGTCCCACAGAGTCCTACCACATGCCCATCGTAGCATTCTCATTTCTGCGGCCTCCATCCTCCTAACGTGATCATTCTTGATTGCCCAATATTCTGATACATACAGCAGCGCTGGTCTTATTGCCATTCTATAAAAATTTTCCTTAATTTTTAGAGGCACCTTCTTGTCACACAAAACTCCAGTAGCAGCCCTCCACTTTAGCCATCCTGCCTTTATACGGTGTGTAACGTCATCATCTACACCCCTATCTTTATGTATCATAGACCTTAGGTACTTGAAACAATCCTTTAAGGGGAGAACGTGTCCTTCTATGCATACTTCTACATCTTCATCGTTTTGGTTCCCACTAAGGTTTGAACATAAATACTCTGTCTTTTCAATATTGATCCTTAGATCTTTTTCTTCCAAAGCAGTCTTTTAGGTAGTCAGTTTACTATTCAGCTCAGTTTTTGTTTCAGCAACTAGGACAATGTCGCAGCGAAAAGCATACACCATGGAACACCGTCTGGTGTCGCACAAAAGATGTCGTCCATAATCAAGGCGAAGATGTAAGGGCTAAGAGCCGACCCCTGGTGGAGTTCGATTTCCACCGGGAATGTCTCGGTGTCGCCAACTGTAGTCCTGACGTAAGTAGTAGATCTACAATACATATCACGAATCGCCCGGATATAAGCAGTCGGGATCCGTTTCGTTTCCAAGGTCTTCCAGATCGCATCGCGGGGAACTCTATCATACGCCTTCTCAAGGCCAATGAACGCCATGTGGAGATCTCTATTTTTTCCCTATATTTCTTCATAAGCCGTCGAAGTAGATGAATCGCCTCCGTAGTAGACCTGTCTGGCATAAAGCCAAATTGGTTTTCCGAGACCCTAGTAACCTGTCTCAACCTAGTCTCTATCACCCTTCCCATAACTTCATGGTATGACTGAGTAGTTTAATACCTCTGTAGTTGCCACAACGTTGAGGATCTCCTTTATTCTTATAGATTGGTATTACCGTAGACTCTCTCCACTCCTCTGGCATCTTGACAGTCTCTAAAATAATATTAAAGATATTGGTCAACCACTTTACTCCCTCTTCTCCTAGGCCCAACCACACAATGATAGGAATTTGATCGTGTCCGACAGCTTTGTCCCTCCCCATCTTTCTAAGGGTCATTTTGACTTCCTCAAACTCAATCTTACTTGTAGGACAGTCATTAGCTGTAGTATGATGGTCGGCAGACCCATCAACGGTACTATCTC